GAGTCTTAAAGGACAACAGCTGCTAATCTGATTCTGTTAATTGTTTCGGTGAAATCACCTGTATGTGCTACCGCCGGTGTTGGCACTAGATTTCCTATTTTCAAGTTGGAACGTACTCAGTTTTATTTTCCGACCTGTGGACCAATATCTGTTATTTATATTTAAATAACAATGTCTCTCGTTGATTGCTGTTATCCGTGTACCTAAATCATCATTATATGTTTACATAATAAAATACGTAAAAGATTCATCACGATTTGTTGTGTTAGCATTAGGTATGCTTCTTGCTGGATCCAGTTTGGTAATTACACAAATTGTTAGCGTTGTTTATACATTGCAGACTCATTAACGGAGATGCAATCTGCACACAAAGCACTCCACCTGTTGTGCAAAAGCAACAGGAAAATAAACATTCACAAAATAGCAAAAAAATAATACCGTTGACAAAACGGTAAAAACGTGTAGAAACTAATAATAACTTTATCGTAGTTAAAGCGTAGAAAATGTGAACTTTCCGGTGAATAACGTGTAGAAAATAACATTTTTAATACCGTAAATAATATGTAAAAATGTTAATGATCAGGTATAGAAAATACCATTCACAATGAAGTAAATCAAAGAAATTAATATTCACAAAAACGGTAAAAAGTAACGCAGAAAAGTATTTTACACAAATACAGTTAATCGCGTGTAGAAAATTGACATTTGCATTCCGTTAATCACGTCTAAAAATACAATTTACTATACCGTAAACTACATGTAAAAATAACATTCACAACACGTTAAATCTCATTCAAGCATGAGGTCGTGGTTGGGTTGTCGGAATCGGTTAGCGCTAGCGTAAGATCTGTTCGACACCTTCTGCAAAAAAACACTTTACCTCCAAAAGGAATGAAACAAGATGTTCTGAAAATGTGAACTTTGCTTTCAAAAGAATCTTATTTCATAACCACAGTCTACTCCAACAATGTTAGATGTTTTACACGGCGAAAAACTGCAGTCGGCAAAATCATATCCGATAGAAAAAAGGCCGACCAGCGGCCTCTCATGTTATAGGAGTAAATACTGGTCTTAGTTAAGGGGTCATGCATGCTTTCTCTGTTAATTTATAAAAAACAAAACATTTTCTATTATTAATTGATTTTAAGCAACTAAGTACAACAAATGCCCACATTAAATTAAGATATCAGTATGAGTTTATACTATTGTATTAACCCATAAGCCTCAAATTACAAAATTATATCAAAAAGCTGACTTTTTTTTGTAGTAAAGAATAAAAGTGTCGAATCTTTTTTTGTCGTCACAGTTTTCATTAATAAAACCATTAGGAGGATCAGTGCATTTTTTTAGAAGAATTGCATATACCTTATAAATATTGCTAACCAACGAACATCTATTACCATGGTTTGAACAGGTTGACATAAGTATACCCTACCAGACCATGTATAGGAGTCCTCCACACCCATTCTCTCGACCACAAACTTGTGACCAGGTATAAACTTGCCTACCATTGAATTAATATCCAAACATTGAAAGCTTAAGCTGCTAGGTGGTAACAAATCCGTTTACCGTACACCTTTGCAGGTCGGTAGGTTTTGGCCTTGACACTGCAGTCGGTATGCATATTGTAATAAATTATATATAAAAAAATAACAACAGGCAGAGTAGTGCAATGCTGATAAACAACTATGGTTTTCATTTTCAGGTTCTGAATACGTAAACTTAGTTACAACCTTAAGTTTTATAACGCATAAAGGCATTGCCTTATAAACCTTGTAATTGAATAAGCACATGTGTTTGTTATGTAACTTGGGCTTATATTCATAAATATACGAGATACTTTTAAAGGATTTAAAACACTTGTAATGAAAATTGTCATCGGAAGTTTTCGTCGGAGAAATCGAAAGTGACATTCACGCAGTTATATCCTAATGGCCCTGATGAGTACTGTAACATTTGTCACACATCTCATTAAAATGAATAGTGAATAGAAAACAGGTTATTTCTTTGTGTGATATGAAGGTCGATGTTTTTGATTTTGCTCGTTACAGTGCCTGTGGTTTTGTTTTAATTACCCGAATTTTTGATCTGAGGACATGACATTACTTAGATTCAACTAACATGTTTACAGCGGCTGTCCTCGATGAACCATCAAACGCTTACCATTTCGCTAATACAAGGTCAAAGGCACCAACAGGTTGCTATGCAGCTCGGTGTGAATGTTTTCACCATAGAACGTCTTGTCCGTCGTCTGAGAGACACCGGAAGGTTGCCGACCAATCACGATGGGACGTCCGCGCGTCACGATGCGACTTTGTCTTGCCTACATGCGTGATCGCCACGTTACTGCCAATGAAACCGCTTTTAATACAGTGGACACTCATAATCGCCACATTCACCCCAAAACTGTAAGGGACCGATTGCGCGAGGTTGATCTGCGAGCTCGTTATCCTTTACGTTGGTCTGCCTCTCACTCGTGCACGGCGCGCGCGTCCTATGGCTTGGTTAGCGACACATGCCCCCGCTACTCCCGACCAACTAAGGACTGCCCTGTTGGAAGAGTGGAACAATATTTCCAAGAGAACGATTACTGCACTGATGAACTCCGATTCATGCACAAAACGAGAGAAGGGCAGAGAAATAATTAAGAGACGGAGCTAAAGAAAAGGAAGACAAGTCATTGGGGGAGTTTATCTTCATTCAGAGTATGCGGGCCTGCATGGGCTACTGATTGATTCCTACAAAATATATATCTTGTATTGGGCTGCTTCCAGGCAGGAAAACGATTACCATTTGACGTAAATAAGGACCGGTTGTCCATTAAAGAAATATATAGATCGGCAGGAATACGTCATGCTAGGAATATGATCAAAAAGGAATGATTTACAATTGTTCATGTAATCCTAGCGATTGTTGGACACTTGATATATCGGTAATTTTAGTCGGGCGCTCTGGCCAACTAATTTAACGTGTAATTGTTAGAGGACGTTTTGCCTTCGCGATGGTATATCTGGTCGAGTGGTCTCCCTTTATACTGCATTTTTGAACAGTTGGACATGTTCTTAATGTTTCCATCAACTTATCACAAATTATTTCTTGGTAGAACTATGACTTAATAGTGAAGGTAAGCGGTAAGAAAAAAGAACTTTAATTGCAGATATTTTCAATCTCATTAGCACTCAGCCTATCAACGCAACGAGTGTTCAGGAAACCCGGTGTGAAATATATTTAATGTAACAAATATATCGGTCATAAAGTACATGGATCTACATATTTGAAACCACTCGAAGAGTCCATAAAATTTAGAAGTCACTTTCTGATAATTGTTATTAAGTATAAATACAAAAATATATAAGTGATATACAATTGATATTATGTTATAACTCAATATCTCACTTGATACTGAGATAAATTTAATAAAATATAATTACATTTTGTAAGAATAATAACAAAAAACATAGAAAGTCGTTTACGTTAAAGAATTACCCTTATATATTGTCTACGAGTAGTATTTCGCCCTTTGATAAACTAGACGTCGAACATGTCATTGTTTTAAGTTGGTTTAAACAATTCTGAATGGCAGCAGTTGTCACACAATGTATGATCTGTTCATTTTCAAACCAGACCCTGTCGACAGCTAACCACACACATATAGCAGAGGTTTAGTGTTAACCAGACCCTGTCGACAGCTATAGCCACACACATGTAAGCACGATGTCAGTGTTAAATAAACCTTGACAACTGCTAACCACACACATATAGCAAGTGTTTAGTGTTAACAAGACCCTGTCGACAGCTAATCACACTTATATAGTAGGCGGTCAGTGTTAACCAGACCCTGTCAACAGCTAATCACACACATGTAAGCACGAAGTCAGTGTTAAATAAACCTTGACAACTGCTAACCATACACTTATAGCAGGCGGTCAGTGTTAACCAGACCGTGTCGACAGCTAATCACACACATGTAAGCACGAAGTCAGTGTTAAATAAACCTTGACAACTGCTAACCACACACTTATAGCAGGCGGTCAGTGTTAACCAGACCCTGTCGACAGCTAATCACACACATGTAAGCACGAAGTCAGTGTTAAATAAACCTTGACAACTGCTAACCACACACATATAGCAAGTATTTAGTGTTAACAAGACCCTGTCGACAGCTAATCACACTTATATAGTAGGCGGTCAGTGTTAACCAGACCCTATCGACAGCTAATCACACACATGTAAGTACGATGTCAGTGTTAAATAAACCTTGGCAACTGCTAACCACACACATATAACAAGTGTTTATTTAGTGTTAACCAGACCCTGTCGACAGCTAACCACACACATGTAAGCACGATGTCAGTGTTAAATAAACCTTGACAACAGCTAACCACAAACATATAGCAAGTGTTTAGTGTTAACCAGACCCTGTCGACAGCTAACCACACACATATAGCAGAAGTTTAGTGTTAACCAGACCCTGTCGACAGCTAATCACACACATGTAAGCACGATGTCAGTGTTAAATAAACCTTGACAACTGCTAACCACACACATATAGCAGGCGGTCAGTGTTAACCAGACCCTGTCGACAGCTAACCACACACATGTACATGTAAGCACAATGTCAGTGTTAAATGAAAAAATATTGAGATTAAAACCTAGTTGCTGTAAAATAAATAAAGAAGAGAATAAACCCTGGTAAGCACGTACAGTTTACCCTTCACATGGTGTTCCGTAAGCCCCTGTAATATATGTGTACTCATAATATGCCTTCACACACGGTGCTTTCTTAAATTAATGCACATCATCTGGCAGATTTGTGTGATAATACGGTTAAATATGGATCAACACGTTGGTTTGTTGTTATAACTATGCACAAGCATTCATAGGTACACATGTTATTTGCATATCGGCAGCTTTTTGAACACATGAAACATGCAGTATCATGGTTTAATCTCTGACAGATATATACGGTCAAAACAATACAGAATTTGCATTACTATCTTGTCAGCTGCAAATGTATGATCAACACTTACTGTTAAGCGGCTGAGGTAAACGTTATTGCCATCAGGTAAGTAGAAAATGTGTTTTGTTATTTAAATATTTTTCACAATTTAACGCATGACTCTTTCCATTTATCAATTGACAATACAACTACAACAACCTAGATATTGTTATACGTTGACGAAATGTGAAGGTTCTCATCTTTTCATGATGTTTAAATGTTTTTTATGATAATTTCTCAAATTTCACACACAATCTAGAATTAGATTCATCCGCTGTTTATGACTGTTGATGACCTTCACGAGTAATGTAAGAATGCAAAAAATATTAAACCTTCTGACCTCGGTTGCTCAAAGGATGGTAAACTTAAATTAATGATTAGCTAAAGCTTCAAATTGTTGCCAATCAGAAACAAGGACTTTCAATTGGAACTAAATCAAAAGTGTCCTTCGGAATAAAATAGTTCGTCATAAATGAATCACTATAAAATTGTAAAAAAAAGAGTAAAAACACCATTTCTAGAGTAAATGTACATATGGAGAAACCAATGATGAGAAAATTGTTCTCGCGAGAAAATCCGAAAATGCAATTTGATCATTACTGCTATTGTATTATATAGACATACAAATGTATTATAATGTATAAATAAGTTAAATACTGCACAATTTTCTTCAAATATCTTGATTGTACATCGTTGATACATATTGAAAAATCAGTATGAAGTTCTGAAGATTTATCATTGCCTTTTTATTATCAGTGACAACTTTAATTCCAGTCAGTAACGAGCAGAGACGTATTTCTACAATGGCAGACCTGAGCTACATTTCATGTCCAAACACTGCCTATATCAGATACATGTCAATACCTGACATGTTGCAAGAAAGGACGAATGAGGCTCCAGAAAAGGAAATATTCGTTCAGAGATTTGAGGGGGGAGGTAGGAGGTCATTGACGTATGCTGAACTGCTGAAAAGGTCCACACACATCGCCAAATATCTTACCGCTAGAGGAATAGTGCCAGGGGACTGTGTTGCCATTATTGGTCCCAACTCCATCGAATGGATAATAGGCGAGTTCGCCATCTTATTAACAGGAGCAGTTGCTGTCCAGATTTACAAGACATCAGAATCGTTCGCCGAGACGACCAAGCTACTAAAGTCCACACAAAGCAAGGCTGTATTGCTCGATCCTGAATTCGAAATAAACTACATATCAGATATGGAAGCGTACTTTACCAGTGAGGAATCGCCACAAGGTAAACCGATAGTTTTGTTGCTACAGCAATCAGCGCTGTCTTCTCTCACCTCGATGCCTGACGCTATACTGACTACAGAAGAGGAGGTAGTTGCATTGCCAAAAATACAACCAGAAAGCACGGCCATCATTTTTACGACTTCAGGATCAACCGGAGTTCCAAAAATGGTCGAGATCACGCATTTGTCGATGGTAAATGCTTCCTATATCTCTTTTTTAGGAATAGGAGGAGGAGATAGGCCATACGGCACTTCCTACAACGACCGGCCGTTTACCTGGATGGCTGGCAGTCCGATATTCAGCATCCTAAATGGAAATAAGCGGGTGTTTGTTGACACCGCGATAGGCATGAAAAAAGAAAATATCATGGTTATATGGGATATAATCATGTCTGAGAAGTGCACAAACGCCATGGTACTCCCATATGCGTTGCTCGATATCATTGACAATCTTGACGTTATCCTCAAACATGGCTACGGTTTGTACGCCATTGGTACCGGTGGACAGCATATCGGCTCTCATCTCACTGACATATGTGGTACATGTACAGAGAAGTTCTTTATGGGGTATGGTTCTACCGAAGTTGGAGTAGTGAGCTATATTGAACTTACCACGGAAATGGAGGAGGGACACGTAGGATCGCTGTTTCCAGGATATGAAGTCAAAGTTATCGGAGGCAATGGTGCAACACTGAATCGTGGCCAGTTGGGTGATATCCTTGTGAAGTCACCGTGGATATTGAAGTGCTACGGGAGTTCTCCTGAGTTGAACGCAGCCTCATTTGCGGAAGGGGGCTGGTTTCGAACCGGAGACATCGGGAACATTACCGTCGACGGCAAGCTATTTGTGAAAGGGAAATCTAATGATGTTATTAAGCGTGGCGGCTTGAAGGTTTTGACCTGCGTGGTAGAAGTAGCGATGTCTAAACTTCCGGGTGTAAGGGAGGTTGTAGTAATCTCGGTACCAGACGACCGGCTCTTAGAGGAAGTGTGCGCCTGTTACATACTGGATGAGGACGTGAATACATCAGAATATGAACTTGACCAGAAATGTCGAGCTATCCTCGGGGATAATGTGCTGGGCAGTACACCTTCCTACTTTCTGAGGTTCGATAAGTTTCCGAGACTTAGAAATGGTAAGACGGACATTAAATTAGTTAAAAGACAAGCGATGGAAAGACTTGAACGCGGTTAATCTCGGTATTGGTGTCAGTTGCCTGAAACGAGTTCCTGGAATTTGTTTGCAAATGCATTTAATACTTGAAATCACATTTATTCAGATTCACGCATATACTTGATCTACTATCCTTTACTTTATTAGATTCCTGTATTGGAACACAAAATTACAACTCAGCCACGTCTAAATTACATGTATATAAATAACCGAATTGATCACTCAAAATGACGTAAAACATTTTGTGACGATAATTGTTTACGACTCATATGGCTTATTATGATTTGATTAATATTTTCGAAATAATTATCTGTTGTAGCAAAAATCATTTGATATCCATTAAGTTAGGCGCTGTCCGCTTTCCGAGGCATCTCGGTAGATTTAAGACACTTTCAGCCATTTGTCAGTTGATGTCACAGATGATTCCAAAACGAGTGGAATAGACATAGGGTGCGACGAGTGTTGACTTGGTTTGATTTGCTTCAACGGATAATGGATTTCTCAATATAGTGCTTAGTGTATTTTTTGCTTATTTTACTTTACAAAACTGACGTCATTGCTTGCAGACTATCAATGCTTTGATATGCAGTACTATTGTGTTTTCTCCTTGCTATTGGAACAATTCGAAAGAACTAATGAAGAAACGATTATCTCCCTCTTTATCTAAGATACAATTGTTATATCTGTGAAAATCAAGCTTCTAAATATTTCACCATTGAATGGGTCGACCACATTTCTGGAGCACAGGTTTTTGTTTTAATGCATATTTCAATTACTGTGTTGTTGCATCAGTTTTCAGTTCCGTTCTTGTAGTATTCTAGGATCATTCTTGGTTTCTTTGTGGTTGGCTCTTGTTAATTGTGTCATTGTGTGTAGACAAAGTAGCAAAATTGATATATTTTGTCATTGTGTGTTGTCACTAGTATATGTTATCATTGCAAGTCGACGCGGTGATACTATCTCCCCTGTGGATTGACGCTTTGGTTTATTTTATCACGTAATGTTGACGCTGTATTTAGTAACTGTGTTATTATGTATTGTAACAGGGGATGTGATAGAGAAACAAAGTATCAAACAAGAAGTTATGGACATTTCGAGTTACCTCCCGTAGATCGATCAGCTCACGTTCAGATAATATCATGTATTTATTGAATTCATATTTTTGTATGTTTGAAGCAATGCCATATGTACATACTTCTTTTAGATTATAACCACTTGTATGAAAATTATTCCGTAAACATTTTAAGTGATATTTCTTGTTTAAAACTCTTTTTTGATTCGACTTGTACCATGTAGTCATAATTTCATTAAGAAGTAGATAAGGCCTTGATTTCGAGCACTGAAACATATTGAGAAACGAGTTAGTATATATAATGCACGGAATATGATATGGAATGAATATTTGAAATATCAGTGTTTGTCCGGCAACTCTAGTCATAGGGGTAGTGAGACGACTGATGTACACGAAATATAATCCGACTCTCTAACCAAACAATCTATCTGATAACAGCAATCGGACAAGTTGCCTTTTCGGTAGTATTTCGCGATTTAATGGTCTGCTTTTATCTGTCATGAAGTCCGCAATATATACAACGTGAAATGGTGAATGCTTCCATCAAGGCATCACACATTATTTTCTCGGTAAAAATGTCACTAAATTAATATCATAGTGAACCAGTAACAATAAATTGTACTTTAGATTTTCAATTCTTTAAGCAATCAGACAAAAGAAAGTGATTGTCAAGGGGCAAGTTCAATTAAACTATTAAAGTTGTTTTAGAAAAGAAGTGGTAATGATACGACATATTGGTTTTAGTGTTTATAGTCGTTGGTGAAAATTATTTACAGCTTATACATGTTTCTGTAGTCAATAAACATTGTTTTCTTTCATTTGTTTGGTTTGTGGTTTCTTTTTGCTGTACAAACAAAGCTTAAACAATTGCTCTTACTGATTTGTTTGCAAATGTACTATTTGATACCAGCACATGCATTGTACAATGGTTTATATATTTATCCCCGAGACCAAACATTGATTTTGTTCAAATTCGTTAAAAACAAAGACAATGATGACTACAGTATTCTTTCAAATAGAAGAACATTTTCAGTGTTAACTAAATCCTGTCGATATCTAACCACACACGTATGAGAAAAACGTGGACGATGGACGAATGCTGTACGATGACAGTCGTGGTTGGTGCAAATTGAGAAATGGCTTAACAATTAATACGGCTTCGTGTTTAAACATATGAACTTGATTATTTAGTATATTTCTATATTCTAGCTACTTATATAAGCTGATCTTTCTATCCATATTTTCTTAGATATAGAAATAGTGTTTTCGCTGTTTTTAAAACGACCAAACTCGACACATGTAAAATAACACATGCATGTATTGACACTGTCACGTAAACAGGTAACCATAGCCACTTTGCACCTGTACCTGGATCGTTTTTCCCCCCATCCGGGGCACTTACGTAACTCGCCAAGGTGTGAAAATCCAGGCAAAGGGGTGTTATAGACCAACACGAATGTAAATAATAAATACTTAACGTCCAGTTGTGGTTTCGTTACGGTCATACGGTTTCACATATCAGCTCTCTTTGTCAGATTTAGGCCAAGTAAAGCTCCAGTCAATCATCAAAATGTTATTTATCTGTGCTGTTACCTGGGAGCTAAACCCTTTCTTGACAGTCTTTCGGTCACTGTAATGCTGTGTAACACGCATTGTAAAATTAAACATAATCCTATTTAATTGGATGAACAATTTATATTTACAGTGTTCCTTATTCTATACGAGGACTCCAGCTTTTTTCACTCCGTAATATTGATCAACCAATTCTATCAAATCGCACATTTGTGCGGAGAGAATGGCACAACGGGGCGAATTATAGTTGTATCGCTCAGTTGTGCGCACGATATTTGTGATGCGTTGTGCGATCACACAACTGTTAGTAGGATGACAAATTATAAACTGGTCCATTAAATTTGTTTCTTCAACAAGTTCAATAAGGCTTGTACGGGCACTTAGGTTGTTTGTATTAACATAATTGTTTGTGTCTTTTTCCTGATCCAGAACCAAATTATAGTCACCACCAATTATGCATCTAGGATTGCTAAAATTGATAAGCTGCTTATATGATTTATCATAAAAATCTGGATCATCTTTATTTGGACCGTATGTATTAATTAAAGCAAATATATCTTTTCAATGCTAATATCAAGGGCTATTAAATTTCCTGCTGCTCCTTTTCATGCACTTTGAATCTCAAATTCAAAATTATTATTGAAACAACTTCCCTTGAACTGTTTCTGTAACAGCTAATATAGTAGTTACATCACCATTGCAGTGTTATGTCCTTTTCCTGTTCTTTTTTAAAATGTGTGTCTTCAAACAATTAAAATCACATTTTTTCTCCCTCTGCACTAAGCCTCTACTGTTTGTAGATGCTATTTTAATGTTATTTGACATTATTATCTCAAATATTTACTAGTGTTGGTTCGCTCAGATGCTGAGTAGATTTTCATTGAAAAAGAAATTTAATTAGAATTGGAATGCAATTAAAAAATGAGTCGTTGAACTGCAGATATCGGGTATAATACATACACATTCACTTACATTTCTATCAGCTAGACACATTTACATAACATACTCTGCACAGATTCTTACACTTGACACTGAAGATAAACAAACAAATGGAATTAACACCAATACGTTGATTTAAACATATTTTATTTGTCATTTAACAAAGAGGATTAGAGACAAGTTATCTCAACTTAGAAACGCTTTCTCCAATACATTTCATTATATTAATTACATGACATCAATAACAACAATTTTTTTATAAAAAAAATGTGTATATGAACGAAGAAGAAAGATAGGGAAAAAAAGGAAGAAAAAGAAATTTAGAAGAATAAGAAAGAGAAATGATACGATAATACTACTGACCTTAAAATGTTACTATTTTTAATGTCGGTTTGGACTATATGGAAGATATTTTCATTGTCTTCATCAGACAAGTTTGGAAAACCGTACAGAATAACATTTAGAGAAATATTAAAATAAAGTGAGATATCATCAATCAAAATTTGTCTTTGTCTGGTATACAGCATACAATCAAATAAATAATGGACTGCATTTTCACACACATTTCCACATTCACACGTTGGATCACCTATAATATTTACTCTATACAAATCATAATTTAAACTACTACATGAATGACGCAATAATGTATGTAAAATATTTAGTTTACGTTTTCCAAAATAAAAATATTTAGGCAACAAGTTAACAGATGGTTGTTCTCTGGCAGTATTTGGTAAATCGTTCCATAGTCTTAAAGAAGAAGGGATAAATGATTGGAATGAACTAGACAGTCGGAAATTTGAAACAGTGTAGTTTTCAGTATTTCTCAAGTTGTAGTTATTGCGTTCGCATACTTAAGGAGGAAGAAGGTTATTTAAATAAGAAGGTGTTTGTTTATTGTGGAGTTTGTACAATAGAGAACGTTTTCTAAAGTTTTCTTTTTTCAGATAGAGGTTAAAGTTGGGATTCTTGATTCAATGATTGTTTACTAGAAAAAGAGGGCATGCCAGTTATAGTTCGTGCTTCTTCAAGCTGAGATTGTTCAAGTTCAGTTAGATTTGCCAGCGAACAACCATCCCAAACTTCACAGACATATTCCGACACAAGTAACACTAATATTTTTTATATTCTTAACAAAGTTTCCTACTTAACAAAGATTTAAACTTTCGTAGTGCTGATACCTTTTTCATGCATGTTTTTTGAATTTCTGAAATATGTAAAGACCATTTTGTACTGCACTAAATCAACACAATTCAGAGCTTCATTACCAAAATAATTCTGTAAAGGAAGTATACTAATAATAGATATTAATAATACATCAGTTTTCTGTTGATTACATTTAGTAAGCCAATCCCGTGACCATTTGTCAAGTTTTTTCCAAATCACTGTTGACACACATTTCAAGAAGATGAAGATTACATCAAAGAGGTATCATCAGCAAATAAGTTTGAAATACTATTTAAATTATCAACAATATCATTAATTTATTCAAAGAGAATATAGGACCTAACACACTTCCTTGTGGTACACCAGGCTTTGTGTTTACTATATTAGAATTCACACCTTTAACAAGAACATGTTGTTGTCTGTTTGAAATGTAATTTTTTAACCAATGTAGTAAACCATCTCTAATACCATAAGCATGCAATTTATGTAAAAGACCCCTATGCAAAACACGGCCAAAAGCCTTCGATATATCACAAAAAATAGGCAAGTATGTTTTTTTTCTTCTAATGAACAACATATATTATGGTTAATTTCTATTAACTGATGGACAGCGGAATGATGAACCATAAAACCAGATTGCTTTTCGTACAATAAAGAATGATCAAAGAAATCATTATAGATGTGTTTAAATACAACTCTTTCAAAGACCTTACCTATACCAGACAACAAAGTAATTGGTCGGTAATTTGACACCAAGCGTCTATCACCCATTTTGAAAAGAGGTGAAATGATACCCTTTTTCCATATTTCAGGGAATATTTTAGAATTAAGTGTCATATTAAAAAGAATTACTAATGGCTTTCATATAGAATTTGCGGTAAATTTTAGCATATGATGACTTATAGCATCATGCCTTATTTCAGAATTTTCAAAATATCACATATTTCATCAGGTTCAACCACAATAGAATCAAGTACAGAATCAGTTCTGGAATCAAAACTGGGTAAAGATTTGCCAATATCCTTTATGTTTGAGATAGAGCTAAAACAATCATTTAGAATATTTGCTTTCTTATCATCATCATATTCAATATTTCCATCACAAGGATTAACTAGTGGTGGAATAACCTCCTGAGAACCAGACTGTTTTAATAATTTACGAACTAGTCTCCAATATGACTTAGAATTATTGGTAGTAAGATTATCTATAATGTCACCAAATCTATTATAAAACATTTCTCATGCATATTTTGTCATAGTATTTACCTTATTTCTTTGTCTTTTAAGTTGGATATGGACTTAACACGTTTAACGGCGTTATGAAATCGGTCTCGTAACTGAATAGCCTTTCTTAATCGGGAATTCATCCACAATTTATCACAAGGTTTTTTATGAACTGTTTTTTTTTATGTATACATCGTTTAGCAAGTGTCAAAATTTGCTTAGTTAGCTCAACACATGCTACATTAACAGAAATACAGTTTTGAAAAAATGTAGGCCAATCAAAAGAATCTATTGAAAAAAATAACCTATTCAATTCCGCATGTTTATAGGCCCAAACTTATCGAGTGTAGGTACAAGGCAGATTAACATGTATAGACAAAAAAAAAACAATACGTGCATCATGATCACTTATATTACGGTCAATCGGAATTACATACGAATCAGTGCATTTGGTAAGATCAGTTAATAAAATAGAATCAAGTAAACTATTTCTGTTTGTTCCACGCCTAGTCGGCTCATTGATAACATTAGTTAAGTCAATTTCCAACATGACTTGATGTTAAATATGATTATGTGACAAAGTTAGCATATCTACATTTATATCACCAACAATAATAACATTCGAAGTAATTTCTAAAAAAAAATCAATCGAATACTTAAAATTCTCCCGAAAATGGTGACGTTAAATTTCTGGTCTATAAATGGTACATAATAATACACTATTGTGACCCGATTCTACCTGTTTCCAAAATGTTTGTCCATTCAGAAATTCCAGATCATTCCTCCGGGCACATTTTAAAGAAACAGAATAATATACTAAAATACCACCACCGGAGAAATTTCTGCCTTTTCTAAATGGTTCCACAAAACCAGGTAGAACTAGTTCAGAAGTAGGTACATACTCATCCAAATGCGTTTCAGTCATACATAAAATATTGAATTCATATGTAATATTTTCGATATATTCGAATTTATTCCTTATACTTTTAACCTTCAAATGAAATATAGATAATTCATTTACTGATGGACCTGGATTAGTTTCTACATCC